AAGAGCGAGAGGGAAAAGAGAATGAAGCCCCCTCGTTTCCCGCCCGAAATCCGATCGATCCGACGAACCCGACAAAAACGAACTTATTACCTGCCCTGAGGGACGACGGGCTGGACGGCGCGAGGAAGTGAGGAGAACGAGGGGAAGGAGGAAGATGACGGGCTGGAGAGGAGGACGACGAAAGGGCTGTCTCTTATACACATCTAGATGTGTATAAGAGACAGCTTGGAAACCACAACAGAATGCGGGAATCTCAGCAAGGCATTCATTCCAGCGGCAAATCCCAGAAATCAGCGGTGTTCTCAGTCTGTGTTTTTGGCGGGTCATTACAACTTGTAATTCCTTACCACTATTCTTCGGTCCTGTAGATGTATGCTCCTTTTTGGTCTTATGTCCTGTGTACCAACTGGCCGAGCTCAGTTGGTATGCAACTAATTGTTGAAATGTATACCTGAGTTTGACCCCAGCTGGAACCTCATGTACTAAAATCTTGAATAAAATAAAACAGGAGTCTTTGATGGAGTTATTCTCTTTGTTGACATCAGAGTCGGGCAGACCTGTTCGTTCAGTTCGTGCTTAGCTGACAAATACTTTCTGACAAGTCCATGCGTTCTGACGTTTCATGTGCAAAAGCGTCCTGATTCAGAGATTCCTGTGATTTGTGGAATCTCAATCTCTTGCAGGAAAGACTATGTCTAATTCAATTCCAGACGGATCCATGCCAGACACGTCCAGTTTGGGGAGCAATCTGACGAGGTTTACTGAGGAGGACATAAGGAAAGCCACCAGAAACTTGTCTGTCAAAATAGGTGAGGGTGGTTTCGGGATAGTCTACAAGGGCATGATAAAGGCTTCACCAACGACGCGGACGTATGTTGCTGTGAAGAAATTGTCGAACAGGTCGCGGCAAGGCATTCCAGAGCTTATTAAGGTCCGCAACTCGGTGGAGACACGAACGTGGATCTGTCTAACCTGTGGGTGCTATTTTTATGGCATGGTCAGGTGCTATTTGTATGGGATGTGACCAGGTGATCTGTATTGTAATCTGTGGCCCACTTCAAATGCTTGGTATGTGTATCTATTTTTTATGGTAATCTGCCTTCGTTCTGTCTCTTATACACATCTTTGAGTGTTTTCCCGGCTGCAACCCTCAAAGTCACGGCCACATGTTTAGTACCGGCCCTGCGGGGCCTTTCAACCAACAAGTACCCTTGCGGGTCACACACACACTCAAACACTCAGACAGGCATGCAAACCAGCAGGCACGCACACACACAAAGACTTGGAAACCACAACAGAATGCGGGAATCTCAGCAAGGCATTCATTCCAGCGGCAAATCCCAGAAATCAGCGGTGTTCTCAGTCTGTGTTTT